TAAAAATATTCTTCCAGCACAAAGACATTAATCTCCCTTTGTCAAAATAATTCTGTCTGCATGAAAAGTTGGCATGGGGCCCCAGGCTTCAGGTAAGATGGGAGAAAGGGAGCATTTCTCTTTTTTTGTACCAAAGTACTCAATCTTCTGATCTTCCTTGACTTTCACAGCATAGGCATATGTCTACTCTGACCGGTTTGTTTCATTTATTGTGGTAAGATATGCTTGTCTTGTGCTTTCCTGGTGCAGAAAAGGAGCTCCCTCGGTCATGTTTGGTGGCCTTTTTGTTCCTACACACAGTGGTTCTTGTACACGGTGGCTACCACATCCTGGTGTTTGTCTGTACTGGGAGAATCAGGCGTTCCAAGTTATCTTGACTGCCCTAGCTCTGAGCTTCATGGAATATGTGACTCAGAAATGCTATGCTTTCTGGAATTTGGAGATTTCATTTTTATTTGTTTCTTGGTAAATTCTCTTTTGACTTAGGAGAAGCTAACTATTCAGAAAGGTCTCTCAGAACTCTGATTCCAAATATATGGTACCTTCTTTATAGTGATCTCATTTTTAAATACCTAGTCCTGGAGGAAGAGCTAAATATGAATAAAGTGATGAGCCATGTAGGGGATCTCACAGCAACACAGTCAAATTTCAAGTTGAAAATACATTCAGTTGATAATACTTAGTACTAGATTCTCCTGAACTGACTCTGGGAATTCTGAGTCAACCTAAGGACTATATTACAAAGGATCAGAACTTGACTTTTAGGCCAGGTGTAGTGGCTCATGCCTGTAATCCCAGCACTTTGGGAGGCCAACGCAGGTGGATCACTTCAGTCCAGGAGGTTGAGACCAGCCTGTGCAACAGCGAGACCCTGTCTCTACAAAAAATACAAAAATTAGCCAAGTGTAGTGTGCACCTGCCTGTAGTCCGAGCTACTGAGGAGGCTGAGGTTGGAGAATCAACTTTAACCCTGGAGATGGAGGCTGCAGTGAGCTGTGATCATGCCAGCCTGGGCAAGGAGCAAGACCCTCTCTCACAAACAAAAACAAAAAAGACACAGAACTTGACTTTTAACAGGAAGCATAGTAATAGCACGCGTAAAATTGTTTTAACATTTAAGATAATTTACACATTTAGAAAATTAATTCTGGCTTGTTATAGTGGCTTATCCTTAATCCCAACACTTTGAGAGGCCAAGGCAGGAAGATCACTTGAGGCCAGGAGTTTGAGACCAGCCTAGGCAACATAGCGAGACCCACCCCCTCTACAAAAAAAATTAAAAAAAAAAAATAGCTGGGCATGGTGACACACGCCTCTAGTCCCAGCTACTCAGGAGGCTGAGGCGGGAGGCTCGCCTGAGACCAGGAGTTTGAGGGAGGTCTGATCATGCCCCTGCACTCTAGCCTGGGCAACAGAATGAGGCCCTATGTCTAAAAACAGAAAAATAGAAAAGAAAATTCTATATTGATTGAAGCCCAGCTAAATAGAAAAAAAAAAAAATTCTAATAGGCCATTTTAAAGACTTTGGAAAAATTCTTAACCAGAGCAAAACGGAAACAATCCTTTATTTCTTGGTTCTCACATTTCCATTCTCACCTTCATTCCCCGTCCCTCCATTCGTTTCAAGTATTTTTCTTTTCTGTGTGTATCTTTATGTAAATTTAAATTTACATACAAGATATTATGATATTAAGATATTTCATTCTGCTTCCTGTTTTGTCACTTGTTCTTTAAGATCCAAGTTCTTGGCTCCACGTGCATCTAATCATTGCCATAAGCCCTGCATCGTACTTCATATTCACCATATTTTACTATTCACCTTCAAGTAGTCACTATTATATGTCACATTGTTTAGCGACTGCAAATGCAAGCTCAGTAATTGAAAAGATAACATTAAATTTTGTTTTCTAACTGGTTTCCTGTGTCAATTTCATGTTTTGGGAATTTGTATGGACAGATAGACACCAGAGAGATATGTGTTTCACCTGCATGCTTGAGGCTAGAGAAACATGATTTATTCAGAATTATTTCAAATACTATAACTACCCTGGTAATTGTATTTAGGAAAACATTAAATTCGGAATAGAAGGCAATTCAGAATACCTGTCTGTTATCTTTGTCTTGTCATTTTTGAGATACTCAGTTCCTGGAAAATATTATGATAATCCATCCTGCTATGTAGTATTTCAAGTTATACACTGAGTCTCTGAGCTTTCAGAGTGAACATTTCTCTTCATAGACAGTGCTGTTGACATCAGTGGGGAGATGGCGCAAGCTTTATGCCCTAGGAAAGTTTAAAAGCTAGAACATTACACTGCAAACCCAAAGTCAGGAAACTTTGTTCCAGCAACTGGGCAAGGAAAGCCTACCACTGTAACCCGGACCTTCTTTTAGTAGAATTATATTTCTTTGCTAAGAAGTCTGGTGACTCTCACACCCCATCTCAACACTTTCCTGGATTCCAAGGCCCTGGTGCCCTGAGCACACAATTTCCCAGGTTCCTTTTATTGTTCCTGATAAGAACTTGAATATAGGGGTGTGGTCCCGTGGGTGACATTCTTGCTCCATCATTTCTTACCCGGGTAACCTTGAGTATGGCGCCTAAATCCTCTCTTCCTTTCAAATTGCCTAGTCTATAAAATGGATGCAATGAATGGTACCTATGCCACAGGTGTTTTGTGTGAGAATTAAATGAGACGAGTTATATAAATAACACTTGGAGGCATGGAGGCATATAGTGAGGGCTTGTTTTATGTTGTCTTTTAACCCTTTCTCTCTCTGCTCCTCCCCAGACACACACATCCCCTCCCACTGGCAATGTACAAATTGCAGCTTCCTGCCTCTTTCCTGCTTTCTCGCTCCCTGGATGACATCGCTGCGTTTCCGCCTCTCCCCTAATCTTAGCTGTTTTCACCCTTTCCCCACAACATTGCCTTGACAGTTCCTCAGTGTCCCATCCCCTCTTCCCTTGGGTAACACCAGAAGCCTGCACACACTGCCTGTTATTATTCCTCCTGTTTCACGTGTGTCCATTCTGTCTCATAAAGGACACTTTAGGCTCTGAAGAGCTAAGGTCTTTCTTATTCTTTTGTCCCATGGAAAATAATCCCTCCAGATAGCAATACCAGGAATAGTGCTTTTTCTAACCCACGGGTTTCCTTTTGAGCTTACAGGCAGCAAATCTTACATCTGTTTGTGTTTCTGTTCCCCTCTCTGCATTGACTGCTAGAGAGATCAGTCAAGAGGGAGATTACATCTAGCTGAGGCACTGTGCTTTATGGCAGGAGTTTTGTGTGCAGATCTCATACCATCTTCATGTTACAGTTGTTGCTCAGTATCCATGGGGGATTTGTTTCAGGAACTGCAAGGACACCAAAGTCCGTGGATGCTCAAGTCCCTGATATAAAATAGCATAGTGTTTGCATATAATCTACACACATCTTCCCATATAATTTTTTTTTTATTATTTGTATAAATTCATGGGGTACAAGTGTAATTTTGTTACATGGATGTATTGCATAGTGGTCAAAGTCAAGGCTGTGAGTGTATCTATCACCAGAATAACGTACATTGTGCCCATTAATTCCTGTATACTTTAAATCATCTCTAGATTACTTACAATAGCTAATACAATGTAAATGCTATGGAAATAGTTGTTATATTGTTAGGGGATAATGATAAGGAAAAAACCTATACATGTTCAATATACAGCAATTATTTTTTTCTGAATATTTTTGATCTGCCATTGGTTGAATCTATGGATGTGGATCCCACAAATGTGGAACCCACAGATATGGAACCCACAGATGCGGAGAGCCAACTGTTTATTTTTTCCAAATTTGTTTCCCTATGACTCTGCTTTATACACATTTTAAAACTCTGTTGTCTTGTATTTCTTTTGTAATCATCTTACATCCTTTTGGAAACCAAGTGGGGCATAAATAGTACATGTTTGCATTTGAGGCAACAGAGGCACCGCAGGAGCTGGAGACAGCAAAGTTCAAAGCCAGTCCACCACTTACCTACAGAGTGGCCTTGGGCAAGTTACCTCCGTTCTCTGTCTCCATTCTCTAGCCTGTCTAGAGAGAGAATGAACCAGCCTCCCAGGGTGGTTGTGCTGTTTTAATGAGATAATGCATGTGAAATGTGAAGTGCCACTGTCCCTGGCATGGAGATGCTGTCCTTAGATATTAGGTCCATCTTGTGTCTTCTAGTGTATCTTTAAAAATTAAACTATTCTGATTTCATGTCTGTAATCGCAGCACTTTGGGAGGCCAAGACAGGCAGATCACTTGAGTCCAGGAGTTCAAGACGAACCTGGGCAACATGGTGAAACCCTGCCTCTACAGAAAATACAAAAATTAGCGGGGGCTTGGTGGCACGTGCCTGTAGTGCCCGCTGCTTGGGAAGCTGAGGTAGGAGGATCACTTGAGCCCGGAAGGCAGAGGCTGCAGTGAGCTGTGATTATGCCGATACTCATCAGCCTGGTATGGCAGAGCATGACTCTTTGAGACAAACAAAAAAATTAAACTATACTGATAACTATTTCTAAAGTAACTGATGAAAACATATATACGACACTTAGCAGGTGTTGATCAATTCCAGTGCATGCATGAGCTGCTTTGCGCTGTGGCTCAGGCACTCAGCGGTTTGCTTAGTGAGTAGGTGGCCATAGCCCACCTTAGGTATCTGGAGAATAATGCTCATTCCTGTCTCCAGCTTTGTAAAATTGCCTGATAGTCGGAAGGCATTAAAATGTGAAGATGTGATTGTATCTTATGAAGCTGCTTGGAATGGGTTTTCCCTCTTAACATATAATTTCTGATCATCCATATCCCTTAAGAACACCGGATTTCTGGGGGCCAGGGAGGTAAGATTCTATCTGACAAAGCCTTTCTGGTGTCAACCACTTGCCATCTGTTGGTCAATACTGGCCCTGCTGGGACTATAAAATGAGCTTCCTTGTCTGACGTTCCTGTTACCCTCTCTTTCCCCATCAGCCTTGTAGCAGTACCTGGGAACCTGCATCCTGTGGAAAGATGGAGGAGCAGATGACAGCTTCCAGTCAAGCTCGTAAATACGTGAATGCATTCTCAGCCCGGACGCTGGTCATGTGAGACATTTCCAGAAAAGCATTATGGTTTTCAGAACACTTCAAGTTAACTTGGGATATATCATTCCTCAACATGAAACTTTTCATGAATGGGAGAAGAACCTATTTTTGTTGTGGTACAACAGTTGAGAGCAGCACCAGGTGCATTTAGTTGAATGAAATCTTATTGGATTTCACCCAACTAAAAGGATTTTTAAAAATAAATAACAGTCTTACCTAAATTATTAGGTAATGAATTGTAGCCAGTTGTTAATATCTTAATGCAGATTTTTTTTAAAAACATAAAATGATTTATCTGTATTTTAAAGGATCCAACAGATCAGTATTTTTTCCTGTGATGGGTTTTTTGAAATTTTACACATAGAAGGTACTCCAGTATTTCACTTTTCTCGATCACTAAACATATGCATATATTTTTAAAAATCAGTAAAAGCATTACTATAAGTATAGACTTAATACCATGAGACAATTAATCCAGATTGTAAATGCTCATTTATGGTTAATGACATTGAAGGTACATTTATTGTACCAAACCATTTTATGAGTTTTCTGTTAGCTTGCTTTAAAAATTATTACTGTAAGAAATAGTTTTATAAAAAATTATATTTTTATTCAGTAATTTAATTTTGTAAATGCCAAATGAAAAACGTTTTTTGCTGCTATGGTCTTAGCCTGTAGACATGCTGCTAGTATCAGAGGGGCAGTAGAGCTTGGACGGAAAGAAAAGAAACTTGGTGTTAGGTAATTGACTATGCACTAGTATTTCAGACTTTTTAATTTTATATATATATACATTTTTTTTCCTTTTGTAATACATTTGAAAACTTGTTTGGGAGACTCTGCATTTTTTATTGTGGTTTTTTTTGTTATTGTTGGTTTATAAAAGCATGCATTGCACTTCTTTTTGGGAGATCTGTGTTGTTGATGTTCTATGTTTTGTTTTGAGTGTAGCCCAACTGTTTTATAATTTGGGAGTTCTGCATTTGATCCGCATCCCCTGTGGTTTCTAAGTGTATGGTCTCAGAACTGTTGCATGGATCCTGTGTTTGCAACTGGGGAGACAGAAAACTGTGGTTGATAGCCAGTCACTGCCTTAAGAACATTTGATGCAAGATGGCCAGCACTGAACTTTTGAGATATGACGGTGTACTTACTGCCTTGTAGCAAAATAAAGATGTGCCCTTATTTTACCTACTTTTGTTTTCTCTCTTACTTGTCACTATGGACAACAGTTACACTTTAAAGAAAATAGAGCAGTCTCAAAGCGCTTTCCTCTAGTAATTGCACACCATATGCACTTTGTGTGAAGAAGCCAGGAATCGTTACAATGGAGAATAAAGAACAAGCAAACCAAGTTAAATAGTTCACAATCACATGGACAATGGGGAGGAATCTCTTCCAGAACGCATCAGTCAGGGTCCAGCGGCATGTGAGTGGGGATGCTGTAAGGGGGATTCATTCACAAATGTACTGATACCACAGATGTGGGTAGGGGCTAGGAGAGCCACAGGATGCAGGCCTGAAGGCGCCTGGAAGGCTGCCTGGAGGGGGACAGTCTGGAAAGCAGGAGCCCTTGAGAGGAGCACTAGCCTTTGACGAGACCACTGCCATCGAAGGAGACCTCACAGGGAGGGAGCCAAGGGTAAACCCTAACTTTGTTTCCCCATTTCTCCTATCTCTGCCCAGGGGTCCTCATTGGCAGAACCAACCAGAAGCTGGAGGACAAGGGAGCTCCCGGATGGGAGCCAGCCTGTGAGCCTTCTTGGGTGTGCGGAGTCGTTCATTCAAAATAACCCCATTTCACAGATGGATCTCTGCTGGCTCCATCTTCAGCTTAGTGTTCTCTTCCCTATACTGTAATACCCCTTTTAACATAAATTCATTTAAATTTCCTTTACTCACTCTGTTCCAACTCTGAATTCTCATAGGCATGATACACTTGGTGTTCGTAGAGCCAAGGATTTGTTACGCCTAATTACTAGTTTTTTGTTTTTGTTTTGTTTTGTTTTGTTTTGTTTTCTTTTGAGACGGAGTCTTTGCTCTGTCACCCAGGCTGGAGTGCAGTCGCGTGATCTCGGCTCACTGCAAGCTCCACCTCCTGGGTTCACGCCATTCTCCTGCCTCAGCCTCCTGAGTAGCTGGGACTACAGGCGCCCGCTACCATGCCCGGCTAATTTTTTGTATTTTTAGTAGAGATGGGGTTTCACCGTGTTAGCCAGGATGGTCTCGATCTCCTGATGTTGTGATCTGCCCGTCTCGGCCTCCCAAAGTGCTGGGATTACAGGTGTGAGCCACCGCGCCCGGCCCTAATTACTAGTTTTTAAGTCGATTTGGTGGACTTTTACTGTCCTGCTGATAGATGACATGACACGTCTTCTCAGTGTTAGGAAGCTCTTTATATTCGTGCCCTCTGAGTATTTTTCCAAGTGCTGACTCTGCCACTTACTAGCAGTTTGAACTTAGACGAGTCACTCACATCTCTGAGCCTTTTTTCCTTATCTGGGCAATGAGTTCTTTCCCACAGTGAAACTTTTATTAAGTAATGCACTACACAAATGTTTGTTATTATGTACACTTTCCATAGTCCAGTGATGCTTGCTGTGTAGTGTGTGGAACGCCCATCTTACTGATAATGTGTGCTGCCAGTTACACAGTTAGATTGAGAGATCACTTAATTATTAATGACAAGAGTAACTCAACATCTTACAGAACTGAAATAGATATTTATATTTCGAACATGCTTGCAACCCAGTAACTAGAGACTAAAAACCTAACTTCATGAAAAGGAGTGTAAATGTAGCTGTTATGGTCAACTACTCACACTCACAGAACACCCAGTTCACAAGCATCTCCAAAACGTTGATTGTTCTGATCAATTTTGAAAATCATCCTACTCTTTACAGCAGGAATTCAGGTAGTGTAAGTGAAAACAGTATTATATACTACTTAAATGAAAGGCTGCACTTGTGAGTTGCTATGTGTGAAGTTGCTTCTGCCTATGTCCATCCAGGGAACAGGAGAGACACTGAGAAGACTGATGTGTCCCCGGCCTCTAGATGGGACTGAAAATTCAAGATAAGAGAGATGCCCCGGGATAAATTTCCTTCTTTCTTTAGAAATTATACAATATTAGAACTGAAAGAGACATTAGATATCATCAGAGCTTCCAATAAGGGGCTCACTGCCTTGCTTTATTGAAAGAAAATCAGTTTTGAAGCGGGACTAATATTTTCTTTTTCTTTTTAAATAGAGATGGCATCTTGCCGTCTTGCCCAGGCTGCTCTCAAATTCTTGGGTTCAACCAATCCTCCCACCTCAGCCTCCCAAAGTGCTGGGATTACAGGTGTAAGCCACCGCACCCGGCCACCAGTCTTGATTTGAATTCAGACCCTACCCTTTACCAGCCATGTGACTTTGTATGTTTTACTTAATCTCTCAAAGCTTCATTTTACTTATATTTTAATTACACTGGAGATAAAATTGCATCTCAAGTCAAGGTTGTTAGCTATTGTGAAGATTCTGCAAGTAAATACGTTCTCGCATCTCTGTAAAATGTTGCAGTGCCTGTTGATTAGATAAGTCACCATGATGACTTATGATCAATTAGAGAAAAATGTCTGTTGCCCAGCGATGGGGAAGTGAATACCTCTGAGACCCATGTCCCCAATTGTGTGTTAAAACTGTTCTATGTTAAAAACTTACTTTAAAACTCAATTATATCTTCTCAAAATATTCCTAATCATTCTAACATATTTTAGTTAATATGTTTCTCCTTCTTGTACAAATATGTATGTGGGAAGTAGGGGGCATATTTTTTCTTAAGCTTGCTGCTTTCTAATCCAAAAAAAATGTGATGTGCAGATCTATTACACTCCACTTAAAATACTTACAACTTTGGGGCTTATTTTTCTCCTTTTAACCATTACTATTATAAAAATCAATTCTTCCTTAGTCACCATTTTTAGAGGGTAGAGTTAAGGAAAGGAAGTCAGCTAAAATACAAACCTCTTTGTAAAAATAAAGTTTAGCGACTTGGGAGGCTGAGGTGGAAGGATCCCTTGAGCCCAGGAGTTTGAGACCAGCCTGGACAACAGAGAGAGACCCCATCTCTGAAAACAAATAAATTTCAAAAGGAAAGTTTACTTATATACAATTATACATAGTAACTTTGCTCCGTATAGCAAAGGGAAGCTAAATTGTAAATCTTATGGAACTTGTTAGTGTTCTAGTAATACACAGTTAATAATTTTTTAAAATTAATATTCAGTGAAAATAATCTTGGCCAGGTGCAGTGGCTCATGCCTGTAATCCCAGCACGTTGGGAAGCCAAGGCAGGTGGATCACCTGAGGTCAGGCGTTCGAGACCAGCCTGGCTGGCCAACATGGCAAAATCCCATCTCCACTAAAAATACAAAAATTAGTGGGGCGTGATGGTGCGTGTCTGTAACTCCCAGCTACTCCGGAGGCTGAGGCATGAGAATCACTTGAACCTGTGAGGTGGAGGTTGCAGTGAGCCAAGATTTCACCACTGCACTCCAGCATGGGCAACAGAGGAATGCTCCATCTGAAGAAGAAGAAAAAGAAGAAGGAGGAGGAGGAGGAGGAGAAATGAAAAGAAAATAATCTTGATGCTAATGTGGAAATTAAAGAGGTTGTTTGATATTTGTCTTTAGACTATATTCCTTTTTTTTTTTTTTATACTTTAAGTTCTAGGGTACATGTGGATAACGTGCAGGTTTGTTACATATGTATACCTGTGCCATGTTGGTGTGCTGCACCCATCAACTCGTCAGCACCCATCAACTCGTCATTTACATCAGGTATAACTCCCAATGCAATCCCTCCCCCGTCCCTAGACTATATTTCTTTAATCCAACTAGTACATGTCGAGGCTCTATTTTGTGCCAGGTGCTGTGTCAGAAGTTGGGGTTAGAGCTCAGAACAACATAGATCAAAGTCCCTGCCCTCTGTGAGCTTATGTTCAGATGGGAGATACAGATGAGTAAATGTTACTACAATATAATCAGAATAGGGATAACAGAGACCACAGGAGAGCACCAGATCTAGACGTGGAGGAACAAGACAGGTTTCCTACAGAACTGACACCTAGGCAGGACTGACAGATAAAGTCAGGCAAGAGTTGGAAGGGACAGTAGAGTAAGATGTGACGTCTTAAACTTGCTGAATAAAAACACCCAAATATAACAACTTATCTTTAAATTCATGATGATATATTGTATGTGGACATTCAGGCAATTCTACTACCTGAGTATATCTAGTTAGTATATTTTTTTCCCGTGCTCCAAACAACAGTTTCACACCTCTTTCTCTCAAACTCTCCAACGCATTTGTACCCAGTCCCAGCAGACAACTTTGATACACGAATGAGAAAAGAGAAGCCGTCAACAGCCCCACCTGCATGCCTACTCTGTCTCTTGTTAGCATGGGTGAGCACGTCCAGCCGCAATCATGAAACGACCCATCCATTTGGCCTCTGCAAACCATTCCTCTGTATCCTCAGGGGCTTCACCTTGTGAATACTCGTTCTCTCTCCTCGACGTCTTCACTGTCTTCCTCTCTCCCAATGATTCCATCACATTAACATGGTCTACAACTCCCAGCAGGAAAGACAATATTCCCTTATCAGTATAGTTTTTTGTTTTTTGGTTTTTGTTTTTTTTTGAAACAGGGTCATGCTCTGTCATGCCAGGCTGATCAGTATCGGCACAATCAGGGCTCACTGCAGCCTCAGCCTCCTGGGCACATATGATCCTCCTACCTCAGCTTCCCAAGTAGCTGGGACCATGGCATGCGCCCCCAAGTCCCACTAATTTTTGTATTTTATGTAGAGATAAGGTTTCACCATGTTGCCCAGGCTGGTCTCAAACTCCTGGACTCAAGTGGACAATATCCCCTTATATGCCCCCTCATATGACCCCCATTGATCTGCTCCTCAGCAAAACTGCTTAAGAGAATTCTGTATGGCAGGTCCCCAGGTCCCCAGGTTGCCTCCCTGCTGCCCACTCCACATGAACTTTCATTGCCCCCACTCTGCCATGCCTGCCTCTTCAGTGTCACCAGTGAGCTGCATTTTGCCAAATCCTGTAGTCACTTCTTCAGCCTCATTTTACTTCACTTATTGGCAGCAATCAACAGAGTTGACACCCCCTCTTTCTTGAACCATTTTTCTCTCT